CTTTTACGTCCTGAGTCACTATTGAAGAGAACAAAAACTGGACTTGTGGTTCGTGGTCAAATGGAACCTAAGAGGACGAAAGTTATATTTCGAAGCCTCAGTAACGAACGATTACTTAGAATTCTAGAAATAATTTCGTCACCCCACATACCACTGATGATGTCTGTCGCAGCAGCAGACGGAACTTTATTAAGTTGAATCATTCATCGTGGATAAACGACGAAGTATATTTTAACAAATAAAAAATGACAACAATATATTTTGCAATGTAACAATTCTATCCGTTATATAAAATTCGATTTCCACCAATTTAATGAGATGCTCCTAACTCGGTTACTATCTACTATAAAAATTACAATTAATTAGCCAGCCATGGATGATATTTCAGAGATTCCTTGGACCGATCTCCATAGTCATATAAAACTTCATCGCCTATCTTAATACTGTCTTTGGCTAAAAGTACCAGCCTGGGTTTATTGTCTACCATGACGGTTTTTGTTGTGAGATTTCCATTTCTTGAATGATTCACTAGTCGTCCTAACTTACCGGATTCTGCTGTTGCATCAATACTGCAAATAAAAAAAAATATACACTACAAATTATAATATCAAGAGATTATTCTGGTGCTTTCAAGACAGTTGTTTGGATTGTATTTATAAACTGTGAGCAGCGTGATCGTTTTCTACAGATCAAATTTCAAACATTTTTCAACACAAACCATTCCATTTCGATTATACAGGGTGTTCCAAAGAAAACATCAATTTTTGTTTCGAGTGGGTTCAATTTTGACACAAAATTCATACTGAAATCTTCACACACCTGCGAGCATCAGCTACCACCTCCGATAATTGGTTCATTCATTATTGAGAAACTTGATGTTGAATGTTTTATTCAAGAAAAAAATCAACATTTGCTTCACCTTTTTTTCATTGAGGTAAATCGAAAAAAAAAAAAACAATAGGAACAGAATTACTGAATATTGACCTCCACTTCGTAAATTATTGAATAAATTCACTCAGAATAGTATCAAAGGAACTAGAATTTCACGCAGCAAAAAATGTTTATTATGCCCTCATAGACTCTCACAAAAAAGTGCGGTACGGTATATCTGTGGAGCAAAGTGGAATGATCCTTGTAAGCCACTGTGTTTAATGCATGAAATTTTAACTGTGACTTCATTGTTTATTCTTGAATCAGTATGCCTTATACACAAGAACAAAGGTACCTTTACTTCTCCGCCTCACCACAATACTAGACAAGCTTGCCAATTAAAGCTTCCTATCCCAACAAGTAGTCAAATCAAGAACTCAATTATATATAATGGAGTAAAAATGTATAACAGATTACCTAAAAATTTAACAGAATTTGTCATGCTACTATCTTTAAGGAGAAACTTGAAGACAATTCTGGTCAAAAAGGCTTACTATACATTAAATGAATTCTTTGAGGATAACCTCGACACATAATAATATTCTGTATATAATTACATATTATATATTCTGTAATATAATTACAGAATAGCACAAACAACTGGGCCAGTTATAAAAAAATTAGAAATGAATATATCAATTTATTAAAAAGTTAAAAAGCAAATTACTATTTCAATAAGATAGATTTAAATGAGAAAGATCCAAATAAGATGTGGAAAACTTTAAAAAGCCTTGTCAACTCAAGGAGAAATGTTAACTGCTTCAGTAGAGCTTTTGAATTTGAATACAATGGGGCCATAACAAAAGTTAATGATAAAAATGATATTGCGCAGAATTTCAATTTTTATTACATTGAAAGCATTGAAAATATTTTAAATACTATTGATACTGGACCAGAATGGAGTAATTCGCACTATTTTGTATGTACCTTCTCTGAATTTAAATTAATTGGATTGTCTGAGTTAGCAAAATTGGTCAATGAACTAGACAACAAATAAGGCAGTGAAATAATAGATATGAGGTTTATTAAATCTACTTTTGGAGTCATTGGGCATGTGTTACTTCACTTTATTAACAGTTCTTTATCGTATGGAAAGTTTCCAAATGACTTGAAAACTAGTAAAGTTGTACCAATACAAAAAATTCCAAATTCCATAAAATCATGTGAATTTCGACCAATTAATACATTACCGGGAAGTGAGAAACTACTAGAATCTGTCGTATATAAACAATTACTGAGATATTTGAATGTCAATAATATACTAATGTCAAATCAGTCTGGCTTTAGGCAAAATCATTCATGTGAATCTGCGCTGCAGTTAACAATAACTAAATGGAAACAATCAATAGACCAAGGGCAATATATAGTGGCTGTGTTTTTGGACCTCAAACGTGCATTCGAAACAATTGATAGAAGAATTCTTATAATGAAGCTAAAAAGAATTGGCATTGATGGTAATGTACTTGATTGGTTTATTGATTATTTGTCAAACAGAAGCCAGATCACAAAGATTGACAACTATTCATCGACTCCTATATTAAATGAATTTGGTGTGCCACAAGGAAGTGTCTTAGGACCTCTCTTGTTTCTGATATATATTAATGATATAAGCTTTGCTCATAACTGTGATTTCATAAAATTATTTGCTGATGATACACTACTTTGCGTTACCAATAATAATCTAAATGAAGCAATTTGTAAAATAAATACATCATTGGAAACTATGACAACCTACTTGAATACAAATAAATTGAAACTCAATTCTGCTAAAACTAAGGCTATGATTCTAACTACTCCCTTCAAGTATGCTAACCTTGACATATCTGAATACTATATTAATATTGAGAACACAGAAATTGAAATCGTTATTGAATTCAAATATCTTGGTTTTATGCTTGATAACTCTCTCACTTTCAATAAACATTTTTTGTATACTTGTAAAAAATTATATTTTTTCAGTCGTATATCAGCTAGTCTCTCAGCTTCCTCTAACATTACTGTATATAATACCATCATAAAGCCACACTTTGATTATTGTGCAAGTTTGCTCTATTCATTAGATCAAAATAAAATATCAGCTTTACAGAAACTGCAGAATAGAGGTATGCGTATAATATTAAAATGCAACCGTTATACAAATATATCATTAATGCTGGATCAGCTTCAATGGCTCTCCGTGAGAGATAGATATTATCTAAATACAATGATTTTCATTTTTTCAATTTTAAACAATCATCTCCCTACCTATTTTAATGACTTCATTGTTTTCAACTCTGATATTCATAGATATTCTACAAGAAATAATGCAAATTTTCATTTACCTAGATGCAATCTGTCAAATACTATGAAGTCCATGTTCCATATAGGGGTTTGAACGATTTCAATAAATTACTGAATGATATTAAAAAAGCTCAGACTGTTAAGGAATTCAAAAAACGCCTTATCAGATTCATACAAATTGTGAAATGAATTTGATACCTATTTTATATTTTATATTGTTTTGTCTTTAGATAAATTTATATGTAACTACCTGTATACTTATTTTTATTTGTATTTTTGTAATATTGGTCTTGTCAGAAAGTCAACGTAATTTTTTTTTCTTAATATTTCTACAAATAATTTTTGTATGTAAATTAGGTTTCCTATTTTCAATAAACTATTATTATTAAACTATTATTAGATACTGTTTGTGTATGTGCTCATTTGTGTACATTAGTAAATTCATATATTTACTTAACAGTTTATTATTATTTATAGTCATTTTTTTAGCAGAAAAATGTTTGTCGACAAGATGATTTCTTATGAATATTTGATGTTTCAGAAAAACATCAAATATTCATTGATAAACAGACCCTGTTATAGTCTGCATGAATTTTGCATTCATCGATACTGAACTACAACAATCTTGTATATTCTTTATATGTACTATTTTTGTGAGTTTGTGTTTATATTTGTACCTGTTTTTACGGTTGTAGATATGTGATGATTGTCAGACCAATGATTATGTACAGAGCAATTGATTCAACAGCAAATGGCTTGGGTGAAGCCCTCTGGAGTAGAAAGACAAGGTTGCCTGGCTATCTCTGCCGAATTTAGCACCACACCGTCAGCGGTCATGGAAAGAGAGGCTAAATGGATAACATACATAATTGTACATCTACCACCTTCAAAGTATGTTACCAAACAATCATTAGATTATATCAGGGATAATCTACATTGTTCAACAAGTCTACTTATAGGACACTGTTGTCATAATCATCATATGCGGAGACTTGGGCTGTCAGAAGACAGTGTGTGCCATGTTCGGAAAATGATGAAACAGCAGAGCACATGTTTTGTGCCTGCCCTGTCATAGACAGAATATGATTTTCAGAGTTTGGGGAAGTTTCATTCTTGCCATCTGAGATAACAGATTACTCAGCAAATAAGATAATCAATTTCATTAAGAAGCTGCATTATCTGACCATAAAGCGGTTTTAAGTTCATTTGACAACTGCTTTACTCAACCAAAAGTACATAAGTATGGGCGAATATACAGCAAAGCAAATTTTGATAAATTCAGAGAATCAGCAAGTTTTTTACAGTGGAATAACATATTAGACCTAGAGAAACCCTTCCAATCTTTTCCTGAACATCTTGTAACACTTTTCCATGAGTCCTTCCCTTTACAAAAACTTCGGGGCAAGCGTAAAACAAAGCAATGGTTGACGGCTGGAATCAAAACATCATAAAAAAATTTAAGATGCCTGCATTATATGAGAAAATACACTAACGCAGCTTTTTTCTACACATACTTCACTAAATATCGAAGGATCTACAGGACAATTATTAAATTAGCTAAGGAAAGTTTTTACAAAAATAAAATTAATGAATCTGATAATAAACCCAAAACCAGCTGGAATATTATAAATGATCTAAGAGGCAAAAACTACACTAGCAAATCAGATACTGCTCTAACACCAAACGAATTGAATAAGTATCATTGCACTGCTGCCAGTAAAATAACAGAGTATAACAAAAAAACTGACTCGATGAAATACTTTGGCAACTTTACCATTTCTCAGTCAATCTTATTTTATNGTGAAGTCTTTCGCTGCTACTACACCTCTTCCTTTGTCTTCAAAAATCCTAACCTGGAAAACAAAATAGTTGTAGGAAATAAATTATAATTGGGGAATCATTTAAGTAGATAACAAAAATATTCATTTATCATAAACAATATCAGAGCTGAAACAAGATTATCCTCAATTTGTATTGATATTCAACCATTCTTCAGATTAGAATAAATTTGGAAATAATAATGACAATAATAATAATTCTTTATTTCCACAAAGACAATATAAAGTTGTATTGGAAACTGTCAACACAATTAAATAGAGATACTGAAAATTAATTATAGAAATTAAATGAGGGGATAGTAAAAGAAGAACAGACTAAGAATTATTAAAAAATTCTGCTAGTGTATAATAACAATGTTTGTTTGAAATTATTCAGTTGCTTTGAAGCCATCACATATTCAGATTACTGTAAATTTTTGAACCAATGTATTCTGGCCCAAATTAAGTCACTTTCACAATTGCCACATAGAGCTGACTTTCTATTCTTGTGTTGTGGTGGTTGAATACTCTTATTTAATGTAAAATTTGACTGAAACCGGTCCTAAAAATAAAATAACTAGTGGAAATTAGACAAAAACTGATTCCATTCATTTCATTAAACTGTCTACAAGAATCTCTTTGGAAAATATTTGCCCAAAATTTTTTTTCTGGCGATTGTGAATACGAATAACCTATGTTTTATATAAAAATAAATTGTGTTTTGAATCGACAGCTTATATTATCAAATAAGACAAAAGTTACCTCTAGCCCTTCTTCTTTTTCATTTTTCAGTGCTTCTTCTAAGTTCCTCTGTTTTTCTTCTTGAACAGTCTTCTGAGTTTTGCGACTTGACCTCCGTTCAGGAAAATATTCAGTTAGTTTGTGATTATCTCTTTCTACATTTTTGCCTTTTTGATTTGTCCTGAAAAGTGTTGGAAATCAATAAATCATTTATAACATTCACTGAATATTTTTTGACAATTTTGACAATAATTTTTGAAACAACAACAGCTAATTTAGATTACGACAAGGCTGAAATGTTCAATTCTTTTTTCATTGATTGTATAGTATCAATTAAAAATAGTATTCCCTTAGCCCACCCTTGGACAAACCATAACCTTCCAATAATTGAATCCACTCTGGTAGTTTTTAAGCCTTTATTCTTGAATGAGTTAAAAATTTTAGTGAATAGTTTAGACAGTAAGTGCAATTCAGATATTCTGAATAATGAAGTGCTGAAAAGTATCTTTCATGTGATTGGTCCGATAATCTTGAACTTTATCAATACGTCACTTACTACTGGTGTTTTTCCTCATCAGCTTAAAACAAGTACAGTTGTACCAGTTCCCAAAATAATAAATACAAACGAGGCTATTAATTTCCGACCTATCAATACATTACCAAGCTTGGAAAAAGTACTTGAATTANCTATATTAATAAATGCTCTTATTATTATTATTATTAAACATTATAACAAAAAATATTGCAATGAGTAAATGAGACAATCATATTATAATCACATATATAACTTGAAATCTCAGACGTTTGAGAAAGCTTTTGTATAGCGAAATACTTGTCGCGGTTTTTGTAAAACCCTTCATAGTGAAAATCATACAATAAACTGTAATAATGAGTTTTGATTTCATTGAATTAATCATTTCTATCATTCTATTGAAAGTATTCTTTATGTAATTTACATTTTTTTTCGTAAAATATTTCTTCACATTACTGCAGAAACAACCACTTACCTTCGTTTTGTTTTCGTCGCAGGCTGAAACAATCTAATCAAAGATTTCTTGCAATCTTTGCTCTCCGAACTATCACTCCTCAGTTCAATTCGGTGCGGAGTTGGTGGAGACAATAATTGGTCACATGCAACTTTTTTTATACTCCTTGTTTGAATCACTGGCGTGGTTTGTTCAGCTGGCGTAGCTGAAACGATAACTAGATATGAACCGAACAGAAACAGAACATGAATTTGTTCGTCTACTAGATAGATAGATAGATAGATTTTTATTTGGTCTAGTTACGAATATACATTTGTGACAAGCCATAGACAGTTGGTACAAATTAGTGTACAAATAGAGAGAACAATATAGAAGCAGCATTAAATATAAATTTTGAAAATGATTTACAAAATAGTTAACAAATAAAGAATCGAATTATAAAAAAAAGATACTTAAGTATATAAATAGTAACGTAAATAGTAAATTAAGGCTACTTAGTCTGAATATGTACTTTGCATGAAATCAAGTACGGAATAAAAACAATTTCGTTCCTTTTGAACAAATTAAAATTCAATTCAGTCACATTATATGGAAGTTTGTTGAATAATTTAACGTCCAGAGAATTTTGTAATGACATTTCAAGTCGAAATCTTGGCTGTCTGAGTTGTCCCGCATTTCTAGTTTCATAATTATGATGATCTGAGTGTTTGGAAGTAGTATTTTATTTTTATGTGTTCCTAACCTTGAATAGAAAATCAACATACAGGGTAAAGACATTATTCCCAATATTCTAAAAAGTGGTTGACAATTGTGCGTCAAATGGAGCTCCACCTATAATTCTGATGGCTTTTTTCTGCATGCGAAAAGCTCTGATCGCGTAAGTAGATCTACCCCAAAGGAATATCCCAAATGAAAGGTGACAGTGAAAAATGGCTAAATGCTTTTTTCAACTGGCGAAGTAGAAACAACTGTGTCGAGAGTTTTTTACAGAGATGGTCAATATGTTTATTTGTTTATTTATTTACGGCAATGCCTATTTTTCACAAAATAATTAACAAGTTTAAACATATGTATTTAACAGTAATCTAAGCTAGATTTAAGAAAAAAATTCATAAAATAAATAAAAAAAAACGTAAAAATAATGAATTAAAATCTTTTCAGACTTTAAATATGTTTCTAAAGAATTAAAAAATTCTAAATCTACATTGAATGTATTTGCAAGTCTCAAAATTCTACCTACAGATTCATTCCGGCCATAGTTGGTGCAACAAAAGGGTACTTTGAAGATTTGACACGTTCCGGAGAATTGATGCTACCATTGATTATTTTATGAGTCAGTGTAAGATCTGCTTCTAATCTTCTATGAGCCAGAGTATTCAAGTTAAGAATGTCCAATATAATTTTATAGTCATATTCACCAATATGATATCCCAGTTTATATGCAGATTACCTTAAAAACTTATTTTGAACACTTTCAAGCATATCAATATCCACATGATATGAAGGGCACCAAATTGTGGAATTTTGTTCGACTATTGATCTAACAATTGAACAATATCTGATTTTTATTGAAGTGAGAGATAATTCATTTGCAGATCTAAGAATAAAACCTAACATTTTTAGTGCTTTAGATTACTTCTAGTGCAAGATCTGATTCTAATCTTCTATGAGCGAGAGTATTCAAGTTAAGAATGTCCAATATAATTTTATAGTCATATTCACCAATATGATATCCCAGTTAAGTCATTTACAAATAGGTTGAAAAGCAGTGGCCCTAAATGAGAACCCTGTGGTACACCCGATGAAACTGTGATTGAGGAAAATACTGAGTTACCATATTTTACAAATTGTACTCTGCAGGCTAGATAATTTTCAATCCATTTCAGAATGTTTTCTTGAATATCCAAAGCGTTTAGTTTATGCAACAAGGAATTGTGGGTTACTCGGTCAAATATGTGATTCCCATCGAAGCGACTCATCTATAATTATACCCAATAATTCAACTTTAGCTTTGATTACCTAGAGCAATAAAAACTTCGACATCTCACAAATTTTTCAGACTACTTATAAACGTTAATAGCTGAAATGGGAGTTACACTCTGAAAATAATAGTTTTAAATTTAAAAAATGTATGTTCACTATTAAAGGCGTGAGGAGCTAAAAAATTATTCAATGTCTGCTTGAAGCGTTTGATGTTTTTCAGCTTTGGATTTCTGTATCCATTATTGACATTTTGTCTAGCACTAATGAAACAAAACAAATAATGGATATTTACAGATCTTATAATTGATATGTAGTGAATAATGGTATTCCTACCTGAGGAGTAATCAATAGTTCTACTCTCATTGATCATTTCCTAACAAATACACAAAACAAAGTACACCTCTTCATTACAAACTCTGCCATCAGTGATGATAATATGTACATTTCTTATATTGAAAAGAATGACTCAAGTAGACCTAAAGATAATTATATCGAAGTGAAAAAATGATACCAAAAAACTAAAAGAAAAACTAGCATATTTGCATACTAGAATTCATTTAATAATAATAATAATATGTTTATTATCGCATACACTGATATACATTACATAGAGTGCTATCGAAAATAAACAAGATAATCACAGAAGCCATAGAAATCTATATCTTGTTCGTGATAAGGATACATTGTAATTAACTGTATAAATACTTATTCTAACATTGAAAGATAATGAATGATGAATTAATCAATAACCTTATTAAGAGAGACAGTAGACAACTACTCCCCTGGCTAATACCACGAAGGACGTTGGATTATATCCGACAGGCGTCAGTGCAGGAATCTTCACAGAAAATTTTCTGCATATGCAATTGGCAATACAACTGAAAGAGTCGACCTTCAATTTTGAAACGGGCACACTTGCAGACCGGTTTCGGGCCCCTTAGCCACTCGTCAGTGCAAGATAGTAACCATCATCAACCTAAAGTCAATGATATTCTATAATTGAAAATGGGAATTCTTTCAGAGTATTTCATTCCTCTTCCTAAGTTGGAGCGAAACAACAAAAAGTCACTCCATCTAGTGGACGAGGTACTAACCAACTGCATATCCGTAATTTGCCCGATTCCTCTGAATAAGGAAGAAAAACTTTCTTATTAGTCAGTGGCTATGCTTGAAGACTGGCAGTACACAAATCTAAACAAATGAACTTTAAATAATGTTCAAGCCAGTCTCGAGTATACCTACACAGTAGGTTGAATGGACTGACGCCTATCAGAAAACAACTACTTCCCTGGCTAATACCACGAAGGACGTTGGATTATATCCGACAGGCGTCAGTGGAAAATATAAGTTTGAATAATCAGAAAACTGATTATTTATCTGAAATTTGCGAAATAATCAATGATCATTTTGTTGTTGGAAAAAAATTATATTCTGCCATTCCAAATATTTCAAGACGACCTAAAAGTGTCTCATCTATAATTTTCAGTCATGTTGAGTAAGTGAACGTAAAGAAATGAATTTTTTGTGATTACAACAATTGATAAAACTGGGTATAATTTATAAAATATTTGTTTTTCATATAGTATACCACTGATAAAAAATGTAGTGAAATGTTGAAACATTTCATACAAATGAAAAAATACAGGGTGTACCATTTGAAAAAGCTGAATTATGTCTGTCTGAAAATGAATGAAACTTGACCGGTTTTATGTACTCCCATAAAAAGTATGCTTGATTGTTTGAATAGGTTATCAGTTGAAAGTAGACTCTACTATTTTACAATGACTCTAGTATACAAAATTGTCAATGGAATGGCACCAGAATATTTTAAAGATAACATCAAATTCAATAAAAACATTCATAATTATAATACAAGAAATTCCAATAATATACATATAAACAGACCGGCATTCGGAAGTACTATGATCATGAATTCGTTATTTTTTAAGGGCTTCCACGAGTTCAATGAATTACCGGATGAAATAAAAAAATATCCATTTTAAAAGAGCTCTTAAAGAATTTTTAAAAAAATTATAGAATACAAATTGTATAGTTATGTGGAATTATTTGGGACATTATTTGCTATCATATATTGTTTTTAATTGTTCACTAGGGTATTTGTATCTGTAATGAAACCAAATATCACTGTTTTAATAATAATTTAATGTATATATGTATTTCATTATCTATTTAAATGTTACTTAACATATGATACTGAAATATTTATATGTAATGTTCATTGTCTGGCTACATGCTAGTTTAAATCTCAAATTGTTTAAATTTAAAATTTTTGACATACATTTTGTTCAATTATTCACTGTGCTTGTGTTATTAATTATTACACTCATAGATATGTATATTAGGTTTCCTATTTCAATAAAGATTATTATTATTATTAACTTGGCAATGCTGCAATGAAAATTCGAAAACAAAAATTTCTTGGACAGCTAAAAAATACGGAATCGAATGACGTATTCATATACTGGGTGTTTCATTTGAAAAAACATTATTTTGGTTGGCCGTGCTCAGTATACGAGAAAATAATTTTAAAAGATAGTATTTATCGATATGACTGCAAAAAAATTGAGCAGTTCGAAAAATTGTTTTCTTTGATAGCAATGGACCAAGGGAATGTTGTTGACTCACCCTGTAGAAATACACAATTCAGCTCCAAATAATATCTCAGATGACCATGAAGGAACTCTCATCAAAAGATTGTCAAAGTCAACATTCAAAAAAATTTCATGTCGAGATTAACACAATTTTTTTTTAAAGAATGGGTAACGAAGATATGGGAAGAGAGTTGAGAGAGAACAATGAAAAAATTGTTGAATGCATATTACTTTTAAAAGAACAGAGAGATGAACTAACCTTTATCATTGATAAACAACAAGAAGAAAGAAAAAAATTGGAGACCGAAATGGAGAGGATAACTTATAAATTATGCCTGGTAAAATTATTCTGTTGCTGATATATCTCCTTATTTTTTAGTAACATTTTAAATATTTTACCACATCCTCTTTCTCAACATAAATATACACAAAAATTAACATTGATTTCTTTTCAAAGATGTTGAAATTAACGAATATCTGTTTGTGTTATTAACTGAAGAACTGAAAGTTTTTATGGAGGGAGAGGGGATTGATTGCTCAATTTGTTTTTTCAAGAAAGTTATTTTAGATAAATAAAAGTCTAGCTCAGAGGATTAAGGCAAAAAGTAGCTATGACAATACTATCAATGAGATAGAAGAAAATTATGCAAAGTTGGTTAGAGAATCCGATGACCTACTTGGTCTGATTAAAACAGAATTCGACAAATTAGAATCATTGATCAACAAAAAAACAAGTACTGAAGATGCACCCAGTTTTGAGTGAGTGGAATCATGAAACCTTCTGAAATTTTCATGAAGCTTATCACTAATTTATTTGATCTACAGGACCATTCTCACCAAAGTGGTAGAGTTGGGCTGAAAAGTAAGTAGGCTAACGAAATTTTTTTTCTAAATTTTGATTTCATTACCTAATATAGTTGTCTTCGAGGGCGATACAACGATTGAAGCAGTAAAACAATTTTTTGTTGCCATTGTGATACCATACTATCAGTCTTTAGATTCAAAATAGGCCTCAGTTTCGACAATTATCTCTTCATTGAGGTCTAAGAACAAGAAAAAGTCGCTGAGGATCAGATCTGGATAATACGGTGGATGCGGAAGCAATTCGAAGCCCAATTCATGCAATTTTGCCATCGTTTTCATTGATTTATGACATGGTGCATTGTCTTGATGAAACAGCACTTACTTTTTCTCAGAATCATCAACCTAGTTGTTGTGTTTGGTCGATTGTGAGTTCGCGCGGAACCCACTTTGAACAGAGCTTTTGCATACCCAAATATTCATGCACGAAATGTCCAAGACGTTCCTTTGATATCTTTAAAGTCTCAGCTATCCTGATCAACTTCACTTTGCAGTCATCCAAAATGGTTTTGTAGACTTTTTTGATGTTTTCGTCGAAACAGCCTTTTTAGAGCGTCGTGCGTCGTGCATTCTCCTCGGTGCTCATTTTACCTTGTTTAAACTTAGCAAAACACTTTCAACGGTTGATTTTCACGTTAAAAAGTCCGAATAATATTTATCAAGCCAAGCCTTGACTTCAACAGTATATTTTTCTCCAAAAAGTAATGCTTTATCAAAACATTAAATTCCTTTTTCTACGGATGCTATACAATGTGCCACTTCTCACAATCGACCAAACACAACAACCCGAATTTATGCGTCGATATGTGATAATGGATGAAATATGGCTCCGTCATTTCATACGTTCAACATGAAAGATTTCTCACGCAGTGAGAAATATCCGCCATTAGAGTGAGAAATAATTTCTCACTGTTATCACGATAACCCAAGTCAGTCATTAATTGTTACATGTCAGATTGTTATGACACGTTCTCCATGTTGACAACGCTACCCCGACGATTCGCGTGCAATATCCAAGTAGCCCATTGTCGGCGTTTTCATAACAACAAAACCGAAGCACTGCATAATTATTGCTGTCAACTTACCCAACGAAAATAGTTTTATTGTTGATTGTTATAGTATAAACAGTTCGTATTTATTAAATATTGAATAAATGGAATACGAAGATTTAGAGTTAAGAAGATTTAGAGTTAAGAAATACACCTCCAGAAATTGTTCAGAAAGCAATAGATGTTTGCAATGATTTGCTACCAAGCACATCAAGAGAAAAATATGAAATCGCTCATAGAAACTTTATGGACTGGAAAATGAAAGCCAAGGTAAATTCCGAAAATACCTTGTTAGCTTATTTTGAAGAGTTGTCAAGAATATTGAAATCATCAACATTATGGTCTCAGTACTCGATGCTGAGGAATACCTTAATTATTAAAAACTGTGTTGATATATCAAAATACGTAAACTACGTGCATTTTAAAAATGCAAATTTGAAAAATATGCTCCAAAACAGTCAAAAACATCAACTTCTGAAGAAATTCAACAATTTTTAAAAGATGCACCTGATGAAAATTATTTGCCGATGAAGGTATGAATTGAAATTTTTTAAATTGTTATCGAAAAATGAATGTATGGTTTTGATTTCAGGCTGCTTTAGCTATTAGCCTTACAGGTGCATGTCGTTGTGATGGCAAGGTTCCTAGAAATTTCACAGTCACAGGAGAATTCTACCAAATTTACAAAAAATATGTGAAGCTTCGACAACGTACAAATTAAACACGCTTTTTTTTCTAATTTCAAAAATAGCAAATGTACGAAACAACCTGTGGGGATAAATGAATTTGTCACCTAGCGAAAAAAATAGCGAAATTTTTGCAACTACCGAAACCTGAATTATATACTGGCTACTGTTTCCGAAGGTCATCTGCGACTATTTTGGTTAATGCAGGGGCAGATATTTTAACTTTAAAACGCCATGGGAGTTGGAAATCTAGCAATGTTGCTGAATCTTACATCGACAACTCCATAGCTAACAAAATGAAAATTTCAAAAAGTATAGTAGAATTCATTCAGCCTTCAGCGCCCTTAGAACCTGAACACAACACAACAACTTCAACTTCGACAGCAGCTAATATTTCAATTACCGAAAACATGTTGAAATAAATCGACCTACCAGGAATTACTTTACAAAATTGTTCAAATATAACTGTTAATTACTATTTTAAATAAAATATGTTAATGACATACAAGTATTATTTTATATATATTTCAAATCTCAATACTTGAAAACAACGCAACCGTAGAAAAAGTACAGTGTACAATGCGTGAGAAAAGGACATTTCTCACTCGCTTGATTTGCGCTTGTCAGAAATATGTCGTTTTTCTCACTTGTTGTACAATATACTATTTATCCATTTTCTTCAAACAAACAAAAGTTGCTTCACTCAAAATGTTCAATCCTCCAAACTAATAGTCCGATAGCTGTGAAATTTGTATTTGTGTCGTACGAAGGTTATATTATATTTATTACATCCTTTAAGATCACAAAAAATGATAAAGGATACGCCTTATAGAAAATAAAATATATACATACAAACATAAATATAAATATACATACATATAATTATAAATATAAGTGTAAATGCAATGATAAAGATAATACATACACATAAGTATAAATGAACGCAAATAAACGTACATACATATAGGTATATATAAACTAGTTGGCAAATAGAACTTAACATAGCATCTATTATTAGTCCTCACATTGACTCAAATATTCTGCAATACTGTAAAAGCAACCGCTAATCAGAAACTTTTTAAGTTTGGCTTTGAAGATAATATCGCTTTTTTCACTTCTAATTATGAGAGGTAGATTATTAAAAAAATTTGCACCAGCAAAAGACGGGCAGTTTTCAAAAAACGAGGTTGAATGTTGTTGAAGTCTTATCAAATCACCATGTCTCGTTGGGTACTAATGCATTTCAGAATTTCGGTGATGATCATGTATGTATTTCTTAAAAAAATAGTATGCACTTGCAGATGTATATACATGGTACACACATAATTCCATTTTCAATAAAATATGTTTTACATGACTCCCGGTAGTATAATTTGAATATTAAGCGCATAACTCTTTTCTGGAAAACAAATATTTTATGTAGCTTGGTGGAGCAACCCCAACTAGTGATATTATAGGAAATGTGGGAATATACCAGGGCAAAATAAACATTGAGCAGCTGTTTTCTGTTAAATAATGATTTTAACTGTCTAGTAGCAAAGTAACCCGAATTAACTTCTTCACTCACTTGTGCTATACTTGATTCTCATGCCATATTACTATCTATCAAGGTACCAAGAAATTTGGTTTTATCTGATGACTCAATGTTCTCATTTCCTACCCTAACAACAAATTCTTCAATTTTTTTGGTTGTTCTAGAGTAAAATTGCATTAATACTGTTTTACTTGAATTAACTACCAATGAATTCTCCTTGCACCAATTCGTGAATTCAAATGACAATAAGTTCAGTTTATCTTGAAGTTCCTCGGGACTTTCAGCATTAGTTGCTAGAGTTGTATCATCCGCATATAAGACAATACAATTCGTGCTAACATGTCTGGTTAGGGATAACTAAAAATCATATGGATTTAATACCAGTAGCGCCATCTGTGTGTTAGCCTACGAACTTTTCAGCGTCCATCTAGTAATAATACACCAAGCATCACTCCAATCTTACTTTTTTAGCCCTACACACCAAAATGGAAGTGGTGAGCAGATTCTCAGAACAATAGAAATCCAACCAAGTGGATCCAGGACGAAGGTAATATATTGGCACTGGCTGATCTTGAAAATTAACTGATAAGTTTGAACATATGAAGTTACATAATTGAAGCAAAATTTTTCGTGTACAACACCACCGTGATTATTCTCCAGTGAATTCAAAATGCAAATATCTCTGAAATTTCAAAAATTTATAATGTTTGCGGCTGTTTAAAAGGAAAAAGCGTTTTCAAATCAACATATCAAATACATTTTTTCTCTATATTTGCTACTCCAATTTCAATTGATAAGATTCAACACTAAACGAAGAAAAATCAATTTCTTGTAGCAAGAAATAAAAGTAAAAATTTGATTACAGATTTGTCAATGCGCCCATAAACCTATGAAGCAGATAAGGAAGAATTTGATCGACAAAGCAAACCAATCAGTTCAAGCAGACCAAGAAGTTCCCACTAAACTACAAGATTCTGCATCAGTGAAAAATGATTCGAATGAAATTAAAACACAATTACCAAATGATAATCTGTCCGAACCTGAACAAACGAACATGCCAAAGGAACAATCAAATACAGATTAGTTGCTTTCATCATTGTGTTACTTTGGTAAAGAACAACTTTTTCGTCATGGTTATAGCAAAAAGAAAAATATGTATAGGCACACCTGAAATATGTGAGAATATTTTTCATGAAACCAACAACAAAGATTTATATTTATTTTTCACTATTAGGCCTGGTGATAACCTTGCATTTATGGAAACCTAACCTAACCATGCATTTATGGAAATTTTATTTTTGTAGTCATAATGAGTACTACGGTTGTTTCGAAAGTTTTGTCATGTGTTTTTGTAGTTTCATATCTCAAAACATATTTGTTCTACTGTGTCATGGTTTATACCACGTATTCTATTAATGTTTTCAAAGGTGTAGACGTCTTCAAAGTTGTAGGCATTGACCGCAAGAAGAAAGGTAGTCTCAGCAATGACTAACTGCACTAATAGGTCTTTATTTTTTATAAGAGTCACTTCATGTCAAATCAATCAATGGTCTGGATCATGACTTCTTGGACTTTCATATTTGGATTATTTAGTTTTCAAGTTATCCTACACACTACTTTAATATAATGTTCAAACTTGTGTAATTTTTTCAGCTTTTGAAGGATTAATTTGATCTACATGACAGTATTGAATAATAATGCTGAACATGAAAGGTTCTTCAGACTTGGAAAAAATGATTTGACTTTTTCAAACCATTTCTTGGCATGCAACCACAAGTTCCCGAATCTAAACGATACCGAAATATACCGATACATTCCCATTGTAAATTTAGGTACTCAATCAAGCCAAGTACCACTGTTATTACCTAATAGGTGCTATATATGGGCTAATGTAATAAACCATTGTTACTTTAATGTATAAGTTTGAAAATGTCCTTATAGGACGAAATTGCAGTAACGTTAGTTACGAATAAAAGTTGTAAAAAACATGGAAAGTTTCAATTCTCTTTTCTTCATTAGTTTTTTCGTTAACCAGCTTTCGATCCCCCTACAAACAACAACTCTCTGAAGTCGAAACTTGTGCGAGCTAAGGATTAACGTGGTATTACTTTTCAATGTGTGATTTCTTGGTCGTGAAAACCAATTTCATATCTGCAAATCATTTATTTTCTGAGGAAGACATGAGTTAAATCACGACCACCCATGTCAATCCAACCGGCTACCATCCCACCCTCTGAGATAACGAATTATAAAAGAACAAACTAGAAGACGAAATTTCCACTTTACTTTCCATTTATGACTTTTAATTAACTGAAAATTAATCTCCCTGAATATATGAAATTTGTGATTTTTATCATTTGTTGAAGGTATGTACCATCAGTAAACCAAAAATTTAAAAAAATCCAAGCAGTCATGATCAAAAATTATTTCTCTACTGATTCATTAGACAGTGTTAAGCAGTGCTGTAAAGGAGCCACTTTAGAGAGGCAGATGTGCAAAGACTGGCCTCTGTGTATATAAACTGTATATTCAGTTAGTAATTCGTCTTTACACATTTTTCCTATAAATAAAATAAATGATTGGATTTTCATATACTTAGCTTTCTTGAAATGACTAACGTTTTGGTTTCAACAAGTGATTCCTTTCGTTCTCAAAATCTAAAAAATTATTGGCAGAATTGAAATGATTGGAAATATGCATTTTTACTTTTCAAAACAGCGATTTTATCGAAGCCAAGGAAGTATATACAAAATGATACAATATTTGATTTTATTCATAGACAAAATTATAAATATGACAAGTTATGTACTAATAATTAGACCCGACAAAAATTGCAGCTTTGAAGTGTGAAATGGCACACTACTTCATAAACAAAACTCAGTTGAAACTTGAAAACATGCGAAAACTCTGCACTTGTGAAGGCAAGGTGTCGTTACAACCCCGGTAATACATAGCTGAAGTTATACAAAACCCCTATTATTTTTAAACGCAGGTGAACATCTTGTATTTCGCAGTGATTCCATGCCATATAAAATATTCAAATTTTACTTTTTGTAGTCACCTATGAGGCAACTATAGAATAGTTCCGACGCTCATTCATCAAAGCCAATTTATAGTAATTTGTACAAAAATATTCTATGATTTACAGGATCGAATGCCTCAAAATAGTGGTGAGTACATAATAATGACGAATTATATTATTGAATTGAAAAAAGTCCTCGACTTAATATTTATACTGTTAACAAGTGGACTAGAAATTCAGAGCCCCTACTACTTAGATTCCCAAGATATTTCCGGACTTTTTATTCCAGTATGAAAATCACACGAAAAAAATTCAGCTTTGGAAGGATGGTTGATTCACTCTCTTATAATCTTCAGAGCAGGATAGTCATTTTCTGAATACTATCTGGCATCTATTGAAGAACGTCTGCACTACTACTACCTATCAATGAGTGGTTCAACTTATACTTAGTAACTTTTGAGGTTATCTAAACATTTCTTGTGGCATTTTTAAGAACTGAAGAAAAATATTGAATGCTGGCACTTAACTTTTAAACCATAAAATTTATTCACTTACCTCTAACCATTTTGAATTCCAGTTGGATCAAGGGAAATTCAAAATTCTCTTTTCATTGAAAACTTGGGTTCAATTCGGAACTTGAGTTTTCATGGAATATCATGCCATTATACATATATTTTGATCGATGATATACAAAACTCAATGGAAATATAAAATCCCGTAAGTTTTAAAACTAAAACTAATTCGTTGGAAGATACATTTAAATTTGTGTTTGTTTGAAAATAACTGCTTATGATACAACTAGTGAATATCCACTGACAGTAGTGACAGTTGTCAATTGAATACTCTTCTTCTTCTTCTTCTCGTTTTTTATAGTATTTGCTTCCTTTCGGCAAAGTAGACCAGTCTCCTCCGAACTTTTGACAGTTTTGACTCAGTGTTGCCAACTGGATAAACTACAAAGTCGCTACACAAGAAGCAAAATTCCGCTACACTGCTTCATATTTTGTTACGCTTGAATATCTGACGCAAATCAATCTTTTAGTTTCAAAATATTGGAGATTACTCAGCTACTAAGACTATAACGTATTAACTGTGCATTAAATTCTTTGTAATCGATCATCAATACGGATTTCGTATTAATCCTATGGAGCAAATTTTTTTCTCTGTTGAATATTCTGTTATATTATTAGTTTCAATTATCAAATGTTTTTGATGATTTTATGGTATTTGAGTTTTATTTGAAATTCATTTTTATTGTACTCATTTTTTATTTAATTTTTTTGATATTTAGTTTTGATATTTAGTTCAGTGAATAATTATCATTTTGACTAACTAATTGAAGTATACAATGTAGCCAACTGAAAGAAATGAATTTGTTCCAAATGAAATTATCACATTTTGAATAATGGAGAAGTAGAGAACCGAAAAGCTTTCATTCAGAATCTTGGGAAAATTCAGATTTCTATATTGATCAGAGTATGTTAGGGAAAGTTATAGGGTTATGTCAAAAGTTTTGTATTTGAGTCTACTGCAAATTGTAATATATCAGTGATACTAATTCAATTAAATCGAAATTAGCGTCATTTGAATCAGTGCACTTTTGCCAACGTAACAAGTCGATTATTTCCGCCAGCATAAAAATTGGGTGATCGGGATTCCATGAAGTCGACGAAGGCCGTTTTTGCCTGGTCCTGATTGGCGAATGTTCAATCCGTGAGAAAGTTATCAAAGTGCTTGGAAAGATGGTAGTCGATTGGCAAGAGGTATGGAGAGTATGATGAGTGAGGCAAACCTTCAAAGCTCAATTCGTTCAATTTTCAGCCGATAATTGAAACGTGTGGACCGGCTTGTCGTGGAGCAGAATCGTACCTTTTCTGTTAACCAGTACCGGTTGCTGATGAAGCAAATTTTCAGTACATTTCGTCAGTTTCCTCACAATAAGACTCTGCTGTGGTGGTTTGGCCCATAGTGAATCATACAAGCTGTTGATTACCATATACAATAACCATGGTCTTTTTTGTTGTTTTTAGCTTAGGGAAGTGCCTGTGTGGCTCATCGGTGTCCAACCAATGTTCAGAACATTTTTGTTGTAGTAGAGAATCCACTTTTCATCATACGATCCAAAAACGAATAGTTTATTCACTTAGATAACTCGTAAGCCGTTGCATGTATGATTGAGGTAACAGACATAATTGACAGATAATACATATAGTAACTAACCCAGAAAACGGAGTTTCTTGGTGGTGGGACGTGCTGATAACGACCGTCCACAAAGAAGATATGTGGATGTCACGTGCTATCGCTGGGCTGCTTTATGTATTTATTGTATTTGTCCATGTGGTTTAGATAACCACATGGAGGGGGACATGTATGTGAAAAAGATACTCAAAGATCTGCTGAGGAGGAGGCGACTTCTTTTAAAATAATGAAGTGTTTTTTAAATAAACAAAAAATGTTCGAAAACACTCAGGGTGGCAGCATTGTTTCGAGTAAGACTTTTGCGCCCTCAGTGAAGCTCTTGTCAACTATTGATGATGACCCTCCTACCGAGTGAGAAGCAATGACTATACCACACCACAGCATAACCACACTCAGAGTAACAATTACTCAATTACTCTGAGATGCCACAGATATGTAATCTGTGACTATACGGTGATACAGAAAGAGAGAGAACCCAGAAAAAATGTGCCATACCTTTGTCCATAGACTAACCCTAAACCTATATACAAAGGATATACTGAAATTCCACAATAGTATGCACTAAATTCTCACAAATATTATTTCATTAAAAGGAAAACATTCGTGTTGGGTTGTGATTCTATATATTTTATCAGATGACAGTAGTGGAATTATAGAATTTTAGTATGCCAATGAAATCTAGATATGGCCGATTTAACTTTAATCCGGCATCGAAAAGTAGTAGATATTATATTTTATTCAAAAAAGCAATAGATTTCTGAAAAAAATTTGCCTGCGTCGGACTTTTGATAGGTACTTGCTGAAGGATCACTTTCAATTGTTTAAAAATGTAAAAATCATAGGAATCTTCAACAGACGTTTTAATCTTTTGGGCATCTTATTCTTGATATTGTCTTTTGCCTTCCATTGTAATTTATAGTACAATAACAAAAAAAAACTTGTGTCTCCCAAAAAAGTTGATTTAACGGGATATCGACAGTACAGAAATGGAAAGTAAAGTTACGAATGAGTTGGATCTTTTAGAAGTTGAGAAGAATGCCACAGAAGACGAGTATTTAGATATTATTCAGAGAATGACTATCATGACCGAAAAACTGAAAGAAATGTATAATGACATTGTGTTGATGAGATTGGAAGCAACCAAAGGAAAACTGCGTTATTTCAAGACTGTTGAATTGCCGGAATTGAATGAACGTGGAAAATCAGAATTATTTACAGAACCCTCGTCTCTCACCTCAGACCACTCTGGTGAAAACTCACTATCTTGAATATTTTATAAATTTGGGGGACCCGATTGAAGAGTTTGTGTTGAAAGTTTCAATAAATTGATTTAAACATTTTGGGTACAATTCATTACTAGATGGACAATGTTCTTTTTTTTTTGAAGTAAGGGTAGTTTAACTCGGAGATTTCTGTTGTCTATTAAAGACACATCACTATATTTTACTTCAAGTTTGTGGCAGAGATCAGAGCTGAAAGCGTAGACAATTTCAAATAAGGTTTTTAGTTGCACAATTTACTTCATCATTATCCATGAAACAGGATCATAAAATGAGAGGACCACAATAAGAAAATCTGAGTAATTTTTGTTCAAAAATCAATGCTTATCACAAAACTGTTATGAGAATTGTTTTTTTTTCTCTCAAAACCGGAACGAAATCAACATAGAACAACCGGCTTGCAGGTTTGTGTCACAGTTTCTCTAGTAATCACAACAAAAATGATTTTTGAGTTGGTTCCGAAGGTCTTCAGCAGAAAAGTTGTTTCGAGGTATACTATAGGTAGGTACATATCTAATACCTATTTATACTGTTTACAAGATGAAAAATTGGCAACTCTTAACAACTTCAGCTTTGATGCAAATATCTCTAATTTTTATTGTACACAAATAAGATGAAAAGATCCTTATGTTCAAGAAGCAGCGCAATGCTAGTGGATATCGATGAAACTTGCACGTGGTTATGGTAATTTCTCATTTTCATTGCGATATGGAGCTACAAAATACATGACATTTAAACGGACCACACTTTTGAGGTTACACTTTGCTGATACCACCACCAGGCCTAATAATGGAAAACAGATTCCCTCGTAGACATCAAAAGCTGAGAAATAGATAGATAGATGAATATCTGACAGATATTCGATAGTTTCATCCTCTAGTTTGTAGAACAATAAGTTGGATTTAGTTGTTGGTATTATGAAAACATTTCTCATATATTTGGGCTTGGCAGGCTATCGTCAATTATTTGGATACCCCTGTATTCATCCTATTTAGAGAGTATCGTTAAAAGAACTACCTTCACTTAATAAACTTCTGGCTGTCACATAAAAATGAATCCAAAGATGCTCAAAAGGGGTCAACCATTTATTTTGTTAAAGCCTTTTCATTCACATTATCAGTTTTATCTATAAGCTTATTGGTAAATTATCACACTAAAAATTACAAAAAATAAATCTTATTAAAAATGTTCTGAAACAATATGGAATGTTTAACATTCATCACTTATATACAAAATACTTAATTTATCACAGTAAGATTAGCAGACCTAATTTTTAAAAATTAGAAAATAAAATCAAATAATGTAGAATACAAATATCAAAATTACTAAAACGTAGACTGTTTCAAAGACAAACAAATACATATAGAGAGCAAGAACATTAGTGGGAAACGGTTTTTTCTTGGTATGAAAATCAATAACAACACAAGTTTTCACCATCCCACCAAATCTTTTGGGATTTTTTTTAGTTATGTAAAACAAAAACGTATTATTCAAGATATCGAAAAAAAATATGTACTTAATGTATGTACAAAATGTCTTTGACTTATTGTTAGTTATTTAATTTCATATTTGGCTTTTTGAGTTACATTATACACTTTTTTATAAAATCATTATTTATGTTGATTTGAATTTTGTGATTCTAATACAACTGTAAAAAGGATCAAGAAATCATGTCCACTTTCAAATAAACATATCAAGTTTGGGGTTGGCCACAAATAGTTCATCCCTATAAACTACCAGACGAGACAATTAATAACAATTCACTATAACAATTTCATTTTTATTTAGCAAACTTTCTGTTCAACTTAGTCAATATTTGCAACAATCCACGTATTAGGAGCTTTTCTTCTGGAAAAACACTGATTGAAATTTCTAAGATTATGAAAAAGTTTATTGAAAAAATTGCATTAACCATGTACACTATGACAGTGTATGGCGTAGATTTGAGCGGCACCGTGTTTCACTTAGATGTGCATGGCGCATATGCGAGTCATAAGCCAGTTTAAAACAATCACGTTATTATTTTACGAGCATTTGAGGTATATAGATGTGATTAAGTAGCGCAGATGGCGCTACTAGTATCAAACGCATTTTTTTAGTTAACCTTAACCATCAAAAGATAGTGTACAAATTTCACAGCTGTCGGACTATTAGTTTGTAGGATAGAATATTTTGAGTGAAGCCACTTTTGTTAGTTTGAAGAAAGTGGATAAAAATTTCGGGTGCTAATAAAGCATTGATTTTTGGAAAAAAGTACTATTGAAGCCAAGATTTGGCTTGATAATCATTATTCGTACTTTGCACTAGGAAAATCAACCATTGAGAAATGGTTTGTTAAGTTTAAACGAGGTGGAATGAGCCCCAAGAGGCTGTTAGCAATGAAAACATAAAAAAGTCCACAAGTCAACTCTGGATGACTACAAAATGAAGATAATTGAGATATCTGAGGTTCTAAAGATATCAAACGAACGTGTTGGACACACTTATTTAAAGTTCCTTACCATTCTACTAGCTATGGCTTAAATGAATCCATTACTAGAATGCTTGAGCTCGAAAATATTACCACCTATATTGATTTATTTGATTCATCCTTATATTATTTCAACAATCAGATTAAAGGTATTGACCTACTATGAAGAAACTACTGATTATTATGAATAATTAATTGATATTTTGTATTCTTATTTCTCTATTATATTGTTCAATTGTTTATTTTTCTCTCACACTGTTTATTGCCAAATGACATGTCCGTAAAATAAATAAATAAATATCGTGCATGAATATTTGTGTATGCTAAAGCTCTGTTCAAAATTGGTGTCGTGCGAGCTGACAATCCACCAAAAACAACAATGAATTGATGATTCTGAGCAGTGTTTGGAGCTGTTCCACCATAAAAAAATCCGAATTTATGCATCGACGGTTGAAATATCTGAGTGGACTGCACGTGGTGAACAGACCTCAAAGGTTATGGGATCAGTATTGTGGGATACGCATGGTATAATATTCATCGACTATTTTGAAAAGGGAAAAACCATCAACAAATGATGTCGCAAAGACAGTTTACCATGCACTTATTGAATCTCAATTACGTTATGGAATACCTTTTTGGGGAGCATGCAACTCATCCCTTCTCTCTTCTGTATTGATATTACAGAAGAGGACACTAAGATGTCTCAAAACCCAGAGAATCGTGCGGGAACTTGTTCACTGCCAATAAAATTTTAGCAGTCACCGCACTTTTTATAGAGACAGTTTGCCTTATTTATAAACATAAATCGAAGTTCAACTTTGCTTCTACTCCTTATGGTACTTGTAAAAGCAATTATACCTTTAGACTTCCCATCCAAACTTCGAATTTAATCAAGGATTCCATATACTATAATGGTGGTAAGTTGTTCTGTAAATCTAAGCAACATTCATTTCAAAAAGGCGTTGAAGAACCTACTTGTTGATAGACCCTATTATAGTTTGGAAGAGTATTTTAGCAAATCTTCTTAACAATATATTAGCAATTTATTCTTTGTACAATCACTTTATACATGGTGGTATTTTATCTATACATTTTTAAACCTTTTTTTTATATTTACATTCATACATTTTTGGAACTTTTTTATATTTACATTTATATTTTTTTAGTACTTTTTCTATATTTTCATTGTATTTCTTGGACTTGTCGAAAAGATTCAAATCTTCAGGCAATAAAGTATATTTTGATCTGATTTGATTACATAGCAGCGTTATTGGGGCTTTTGAAGGACGAAATCGCGGAAAAACACTCCCATTTGAAGAAAAATAATAAAGTGCTATTCCACCAAAACAATGCACCATATCAAAAATCAATGAAAACGACGGCAAAATTGCATGAATTGCTTCCACATCCACCGTATTCTCCAGATGTGACCCCCAGTGACTTTTTCCTGTTCTCAGACCTTAAGAGAATGCACGCTGGACAAAGACAAATCGTACTATAAAAATGGTATCGATAAATTGTTAGACCGTTATAATTTTTGTATCGCCCTCGAAAGCAACTATATTGAATAATAAAAACGAATTTCATAAAAAATTATTTTTTCTGTCAGCCTATGAACTGTTCAGCCCAATGATAAATATAGAAAGTAACGTGACAGGTTATCATCAACGCCCATAGAAAACTGTAATACAGTCGAAAATTTTTCGATTTTCATTCATTGAGATTGGTTCCTTAATGAAACTATGAAAGCCACACTATGTTTTCAAAGCACTCAACGTATTCTTCTCAACTTTGCTAACAAGAAATGACCATTAGAATAACACAATGATTGTCAAAAAATATCATTACCAAGTTCAGATTATACTCCTGAAGTACCAATTAGGTTATTCATCAAAATGTAGTTCAAGAGATTTGTAAAATTATACTTTCTCCAGACACATTCTAGAGAGTCTTCTCAGTGAACTGTCAAGAGATTTCATGAACTATAAAGCCGTATACTCGTCTGATGGTCCACAGCTCCTCCTAACGTCTGTCGAGTCGCTTTTTGAAGTACACATTGCTTTTAGAGAACTTCGACCATAATTTCCCCTACTTCCAAAACCAAGTCCTCCTTTTTTGTTGAGATTCTCTACCATACTTCTTACCACGCTGCCAGAACTCGCCACGGTTCCCAATGACCTTTTGGTAGGATCATCAGGATTGTTTTCTATATTCAAAAAACCTGTTTTTCTCTGCAAAAGAGGCGTGAGTTTAGTCAAAAACGAAGGTTTATCTGTATTGGTGGAAGTTTTTTGTTTAGTACTAGTTGAAGTCCTTATTACTGAATTTGTTTCATTCTCATGTTCATTGGCAGACTTTATACCTAATACTGTGATAAGAGGTGCGGAACTCAAAGAACTGCTGCTGTTCTTATCAGTTACTGAACTTTCCAACCTTTCAGATATAGTATGTGAGGGCTGCTTTGCAGAAAGACCACTGTGTGTTTCCACTTCATTTTGTTTGTGAACTGATCTTCTCTGCAGAATAGGAGTTCTCTTCAAAACAGGACTATTCTCTGAATCTTTGGTATATCTTCGACGCGGCAGACTTGAACAGACATCCGCAGTGGTTGGTGTAGAATCGCTGCGGTTGAAAATGTGTTTACCAATATTGAATGGGTTTCTCACATTAGTCGGATGAGGGTTTTTCGAAAACGTCGACGACACCAAATCAGGAATGAAGCTATTGATATGACTATCCACATCGCTGAGAGATCTTTGGTAAAGCACAGGGGTAACTTGCGGCTGCGACACCGGGTGTTGCTTGTTCAAATTAACATTTTTGATGGAACCGACATATTTTTCAGTAACCTGTGAAGGCACCGTGGAACTCTTCAGTCTTATGCTATCTAAATTCAGATTCGATACTTTCGCGGTAGTGTTGAGCAAAGGTTTCATTTCCAACGTCTTTGTTTTGCCTAAAAACTTGCGTTTTTCCCTCCCTTGATTACTCTCGTCATTCTTAATGCTATTCTCTTTCATTTCTTTAACTAGACGATTTCTGGTGAAATTTTTAGGCACTTTTCTCAAATGAGCGCTGAGAGTATTATCCCTCATATTATTGTCTTGATTAGAAAGTGAGCCTAGTTTGGGTTTGTGATTGATATTTTCCTTTGCGTTTTCAAAATTCGAGTGTTTGTCACTTTTACTTAATTCAGTCTCATTGAGCTTTTGTATACAAATTGGTTTTTCAACAATTCCAGCATAAGCAGCATCGTTTTTCAAAAAATCGATATTTTCATAATCCGGGAACTTCTTGGAGTCTGGTTCAATATCAGCGGGAAATTTATCGTCTGTATACACATTTTCACAACTTTTTGTTGTGAATTCGTCTTTGTTAGACAACTTTGGAGTCAAAGCATCAACGCTAGAAACTTTAATTATGGGCTTGAGCCGCCCCTTTTTATCGTCCAATACATTTTCGGCAGAAGATACTTTGATAATTGGCTTTAAATTCTCGTTACTTTTCTGTAATTTTTCACTGCTCTTATAAATCTTTTCCGAGCTTCTTTTAATATCGGCCATTTTACCTTCACATATTGGCTCTAAAGCAGGACTTCTGTGCCCGGAAGGAATGCCTTCTGGGGTTGTACTTCCCGATGAGCTTGGACTAAGGCCTCGATAATGTTGGATATCAAATAGAAGGTCCGGAGGAAGAGGCATTCCAACGGACAGATGCATGGAAAGAGATTCTAGCCATACTTCCATCACTTCAAAAGGGGGTCTGAAAAATATTCCAATTAGTTCATCGGAATTTAAAACTGTGAAAACGAGCACCTTTTATCTGGATTTAGATCTGTGCACAAAAAGGCAACTTTATAAAATGGCTCGGGACAAGAGGAACAGAACTTTTCTTTGAACGTCATTTGATTCAATCCAAAGTCATTGGACCTTGGTAGGAAATCTGGGTCAGCCTGTACCCTCCCAATGATCTGCAAATAAAATAATATCTGTTCATTGATGTTGAGAGGTTTTTTGAGCGGAACATTTCTCATAAAATGTTTCAAATACACTGCCGGGCATAAAATTAGGGTCACCCCATGTGTTTTTATTTTTTTTATTCTATTTATTTATGTACATGGGTAATCCCCGTGAAGAAAAAATAATAATACAATTACAGTGTTTCCTTAAAAATAACTTAACCTTAATGTATGTATAAATGTAAATATATAGAATTCAAATGATATAAACTTAAAATCATCATCCTAGCTGGATACCTACACTGGAACCTTTCCTATTGTTCGTCACTAACAGCACCAAAATTTTCTGGGAAAAATTCAAATGGGAGTGCAAGAAATGAATTTTGAGAGACATGCGACATCCCTTTCTGCAGTAGTTTTCAAGTAAACTTCTACAAGTGTTTCGTAATTTTCTACTTTCTTGTTCCCTAAAAACTCCGAAACAATTCTTTTGAAAGAACTCCACGCAGCTAATTCAACATTACTTAACTTTTGATCAAACTGTTGATCACTTAGCAATTTTCTAATTTGTGGTCCAACACATTTACCTTCCTTGAGCTTTGCATCACTTAATTTTGGAAAAACTTATTTAAGATTTTTAAACTTATCACCTTCTTTGTCTACTGCTTTTATAAAAATTTTCATTAACCCCAGTTTAATGTGTAATGGAGGTAACAAAACTTTTTTGGGATTAACAAGATGTATATTCTTCACGTTAGCTTGAACTGGAATATATTTATCTCTCGGAAGCCATTCTTTTACTTGATAATGGCTCTGTGTTACCCCACTGTTCCAAAGGCAAAGAAAACAGCAAAATTTCGTAAATCCGCCCTGAAGACCTAGTAATAGTCCTATGACTTTTAGGTCACCACATATTTGCCACTTAAACATATTATAACTTATTGCATTTAGAATAAGTGACATACTTTATATACATACATACCGTGTTAGAAATCACACGTTAAAAGGTAAGACCTCGTTAGTCCTTAGCTCGCACAAGTTTCTCAACTTTTGAGAGTTGAAACTTTCGTGTGTTTTCTTCATGGCAAATGCATGTGCAAGAGGAATGGAGCAGAACGGCTTTTTAACTTGTTTTAGACGCCGTGTTTCCAGATTTTAAACAAATTCCTTAATTTAGGGGAAAAGCAAATTTGGAATGTCGTGTTCATTAAATTTTTGTGAAAAAAATCATAACTCAAAAATCTTACATGTTACGAAATTTTTACTACCATTTTCGCATTTAGGAACCAAAAATTAACAAAGAACTACCTTCGGCATTCCAGTCGTAAATTGGCTGTAAACTAGTGTAATTAGTATGGTGATTAGTTATTTTCACAGCATAACATCCAGATTGAAGTTTTTTGTTAAGTGATAGTATTAATAGCCCAAGAAATTTGTTGCATGACATGTTCTCAATCACATTCGAATTCGAAGCTAGAGGAATATTATCAATAATGCAATTAAAGAATAAAACTTTGGTTTTTGAGACATTGAAAGCTAATAAATTTGCCTTACACCAATCTAGAGTTTGGAAATATCAGAGCAGATGGCATTATATAGATCATTAGTGTTGATTTTGTGCCATAATATTGTAGTGTCGTCAGCAAATAAAGTAAATTGACCCCCTACATCGATGGTAGCCAAGTCCTTGATATAGAGTAGAAATAGGGTAGGTCCGAGTACTGAGCCTTGTGGTACTCCATTAGATATGTCAGAAACATCAGATACTGTTGTATATTTATTCCTTTGACTTCCACCCGATAGATAAGATGCAAACTATTTATGAGTAATACCATCAATACCATAGAGATGAAGTTTTCTCAGCAGAATATCGTGATTAACACAATCAAATGCTTTAGAGAAATCGCTGCTGTGATCTCCGGTCTATTAATGTTACTATACACTTCATATAAAAATGAAAATATGGCATCATGAGTATTTTTATTTGACCGAAATTCAAATACTTTGGAGCTTATTATATTACTGAAGTTCAAATGTTCGGTTGAACGTATTTTTACCATTTTTTCAATAATTTTTGCTAACGTCGTAATGAGAGAAATTGGACGATAGTTCGAAGGATTCTCTTGATCACCACTTTTGTAAAAGGGGATTACAATAGAAGTTTTTAAGAATGAGGGAAATGAACCCATTAAAAATGAATGATTGATTGCTTATAAATAGCTTATAAATGAGGTTCAATATAAATATATTTATTTTATCATGTTATGTATAAAATACATTTATGACAAGTCAGAAAGTCTATAAAATAAAATAAACAGTAAAAATTTGTAACAAGTTTACAAGGTACATTACAACATATTCAAATTAAGTGTAGAGGTTCAGCGAGCATCTTCCTTGCGTGAAAAGTGTTCTAAATATTCTGAAGTGGAATAAAAACAGTTTGTTTTTCATATTTTTAATATTGGTAGGAAGTGCATTATACAATTTGTAATCATAGGAGTTTTTTGTGATTTCATCAGCCTGAAACGTTGAGGTCTAATAAAATTGCTGTTACGTGTATCATGATCGTGTAAACTGGATTGTTTGGGAAACAAGAGGGCTCTTTTGTGAATATCTAATAGGCTTGAGTAAACATACAAAGAAGGCACCGACATAATTTCATGAGTGATGAATGATTCACGGCAAGAATCCCTAAAACCGATTCCAGCAAGAATTCTCAGAGCTTTTTTCTGTAATATAAAAATGCATTGGGCATCACTAGTAGAATCCTCAAAGTAGAATACCGTAAGAAATGTGAGACTGTATGAGCGAGTAAAATACTATTTTCAGCGTACTGAAATTTGTTATTGGTTTCAGCTGTCTAAGTAAAAATAAGGCACTCGATAGCTTACTTTTCAAACTTGAAATGTGGCTTGACCAATTTAGCCTATTGTCCAGAGTGAAACCCAATAATTTGAGACACTGGAATTCAGGTAATGGCAGAGCCATAGAAACAATTATGTTTTGTGGTTTTTCCTTATTCATCATGAGTTTGTAGACACTGAACCAGTGCTCCGCTTTTTCTTGTATTTCCATAGACTTATCAACAAGAGCTGAATAATTCATAGAAGAGTATATCAAGGATGTATCGTCAGCAAATAGTACACTGTGACATGGCTGCATATAGTTGTAAAAATCATTGATGTAAATAACGAACAAAAGCGGGCCCAAAACCGATCCCTGCGGTACACCTAGGTCAATCGGCCTCAGCTCAGAAAATGTATTGTTGTAAAAAACTCTCTGGAAACGATTATTCAGGTAAGTTTCAATCAAACCCAAAGGAGTGCCTCTTACACCACAATATGACAGTTTTTCGAGTAAAATGCTGTGGGAAACACAGTCGAAGGCCTTTGACAGGTCCAATAGTGTGACCCCCACAACTTTTCCGGTCTCAAGTCCCTCAACTATGCCTCTGACAACACTCATAGTAACATCGGTGGTAGAGCAGTTTTCGCGAAAACCAAATTGATAACTGCAAAAAAAAATTGTTGATTTCGAAATAATTGGTGAATCTTTTCTTCATAGTAGTTGAATGTATAAGGCGTGACTCACGGTCGATGGTAGGTTAGACGTTTCTGGAAAACGCAAAGCATGATTTTTCTGAAAATTTCACCTCTCACATTTCCTTATCTGTTCTATCGATCTAAAATATTTTCAGCATTGCGGCGTTGCCACTTCCATCAAAAAGTCCTAGCAA